TAGAGAGAAATGTGTTCATTTGATTGGAAAAAAATGTTGAGACAAATGTGTTCATTTGAATGGAAAAAAGAGGGGAAAGTATGTTCATGTAAAGATGGAGAAAATATTCCAATGTTAGTAAAGCAATAATTTTCTTCTACGTTAGATAAGCATGTCAAGTAAAGAAATGAATATAGTTACAATATGATTTTTTTGTTGTATGCCAGAACTGTTAAATACTGGGGGGTTTTGAGGTTCATTGTTTGGGAGAGATATTGTGATATCTGACTGGCGAGATCGCTACTGAGCAAGCGGCAACCTTCCGGTCTCTCTCTTGAACATGGAAGTGACTTAAAATGCAATTCATTGACTGGCTGATAGAGACTGGCTCCAAAAGGGAGTCAATCCCTTAGACCCCCCCATGTTAAAATCCCCAAATTTACCAGAGAAAAATTTTTTTACAGCCTGGTATAAAAAGTTGTTTTGATCTAGTTAGCTAATTTTGCCCTTCATGACAACTGTGAGGGGGAATTTTTTTTATAATTCATCTTTTTAATTATATTGAGCCTTAAAGTTCTGCATAATTAAGGGCATGGCCGCTTGAGTGACAGGTGGATTGCCAATGTCATGACCATTGAGCAAGGCGGGCGTGGTTTCAGAAACCAATCACCTCAGCTCCACCCACATCCCGCCTCTTTACCCATTTTTGATTATCTGGGAGCGACGCGCTGCCGAGATGACGATGGCCGGCTCCGCCCACTTTAGGCTTCAAAAATGCTCTTCAGAAACTTACGGGTGACGTCACGGACACCACATCCATGTTTTATACAGTCTATCCCAGTGGTTCCCAACCCTGGTCCATGGAGGCACCCTAACACTGCACGTTTTGCATGTATGTAGGGTTTTTGAAAATGTTGTCTTGTAATAAATGTTCGTTTTGACTGACGACTCGTTTCGAATTTTCTATAGACTCGTTCACTGAAATTAAATTTTGATATTTACGCCATGACATTGCAATTTCAGTACTGGTTGAAATGTTGTACACAAAAATCTTATGCTTAGAATGCACGCTGCCCTCTTGACAAGTGTTACATCAAATTCTGTGGCCATCGTATTCTGTGACAGTAGTAGGCCATGTTGCCACTGTTTAGCTTTAACTCGATCACACAGGAGAGTTGGGTATGCAAACAGTGTAAGTTATATGAGTGCACTCCGATGCCAGTCTGGTGTCGTGCTGTGTAGAAACAGATGCGCCGATTGAACTGTGCAAAACAGGGGCCAGTTGCCCCTAAAACATAGCCACTATTTTAAGACTGGGTCTTAAGAACTAGCAGTAGACAAGGGGTCGTACCTCCGACATTCAAATTAGACCAATCTACCTTTTTGTTGTAATTGAATTAAAAAAGTTATGACCATTCTTGAAGAAAAAAATTAGATGACTAACTTTTTAAGACTAGTCTAAGCAGTTTATGCAACCGTCCCCAGGTTTATTTACATCAAGAAACATGGTTATTAGACAAGCCGAGTGCTTTGCATTCTCTATTCATCATGATTACTTTGCAATTGTTTTTTAATATTAATTGTTCATTGTAATACATAGCCTATATAGGCTATATACTGTATACACATCCCATGGAAATAGCTGGTCATTTTGACATATTTGGACAAGCAAACACTCTTTTTAAATGTAAATTTTAACAAAATTTAACAACAAACAGATCAGTCACATGGAAAAATTAAATATATCTTATATATTTATTACACCTATAATCCATAAAATTACAATAAGATGTTCAAGATTGTCCGTCACTGTACAAACCAAAACAAATTGTTTTTTTAATGATGCTATGATATTATTACAATGATACTAACAATATATACAGTATATATATATATACATATATATATACTCTGTGTGTGTTGTGTGTGTATGGGGCACCGTTAAATTAAATGTGTAAGAAAAACAGATCACATTCTGTCAGATTTAACTAACTACCCAAACAAATACATTTTGCAAGATTTACCTAAATAAGCTTTATGAAATTTGTTTTATTACTATATACTATATCAAAATAAAAGACTAAAGCTAAATCTAAATGTTTCATCTAAATGGAAATCTTGTAGTTAAATCTAAATGTTAAATCTAAAAACGTATCTGAATGTTATAATTAAATGTTAAATCTAAATTTAAATGTTAGGTGTAAATGTTAAAACCAAATCCTAAATATAAATGTGAATCCTATATGTAAATCTTATATCATATATATACCGCTGTATATATATATATATATATATATATATATATATAAATAAACATACCATTCCAAACCTATAATTTTACGTTTTAAATGTTAAATCTAAATTTTCAGCTAAATATTTAAATGTTTAGCTAAACATTTAGAAATCATCCAAAGAAAAAAAGTGAAAATATAGCTTTATAATGATTTTTTACCATCTATTTTTCTTTTTGAAAAGCCTCACCTATATACGGAGCCACATATGGTTGCCCTTTGTAGAAGAATGATTTCAGTGTAGCTCTCAGCATTCTTTATTCACATGCATTATGGGCAATTGTGCAGCTACTGTTTCTAATCTGTTATACTGAAGACATTTGACGTGTGTATTTGTGTGTGTGTGTGTGTGTGTGTGTGTGTGTGTGTGTGTGTGTGTGTGTGCATAAGGAATGTGCCTCTATGCGGATTTGTAAACAAAACAAAAAACAGAGACAGAAAGAGAAGAGTTAAAGCTAAACTGTCATTAAGACTGTGAGAAACATGTCTATTGTTTGTCAAAGTACTCTAAAATTGTGCACGTTTCTCATCTATGTATTTTTTCATGAAGCCCAAATCACATTGTCTCTGCATAAAAAGGGTATCGCACAATTTATTTAAAAATAAATAAAAATGTAAACATGACAATGACAGATTTTTGAAATGTCTAAATAATAAATCAGGAATGATGTTAGGCAGAATTAAAAATAATGAAGGTTCATAGACTACATGTTTTTATAAATTCAGTCATACCAACTGTACATTCTGTAACAACACTGTTCATGAAATAATCCAATCCCTTGTCTTATGCAACCCACTGATGCTGAAAGAATCAGCTGTCAGAGGACACTCTGTGTGTGTGTGTGTGTGTGTGTGTGTGTTGTGTGTGTTTAAACTCATTGTCAGTATAATCTGACAATGACGCAAAACAATAATCCAGAACCAGGGTTATAGGGTTAGTTAACTAAAAAATAAAAATAAAACCATTAAAAATTTTATATGAAATGAAATAAAATGAGATATATATATATATTTACACACACACACACACACACACACACACATATATATATATATATTTGTCTCTGCATAAAAAGGGTATCGCACAATTTATTTAAAAATAAATTAAAATGTAAACATGACAATGACAGATTTGTGAAATGTCTAAATAATAAATCAGGAATGATGTTAGGCAGAATTAAAAATAATGAAGGTTCATAGACTACACGTTTTCATAAATTCAGTCATGCCAGCTGTACAGTCTGTAACAACACTGTTCATGAAATAATCCAATCCCTTGTCTTATGCAACCCACTGATGCTGAAAGAATCAGCTGTCAGAGGACACTCTGTGTGTGTGTGTGTGTTGTGTGTGTTTAAACTCATTGTCAGTATATATAAAAAGAGAAGTGACAAACAAGCGCAGAGGAGAGAGCGAAACAAAACACCGGTCATGAGTTAGAAGTACAAAAAAAGAAAAAGGTAAAAGAAGTACAAAACAATTGTATTCGTCTGAAAGAAGAAAGTCATCTAGGATGGCTTGAGGGTGTGTACATTTTGTGGGTAATTTTAATTTTTGAGTGAACTATCCCTTTAAGGTTCTTCATGGAACCACAGATGCCAGTAAATAATTATTTTTTTGAATAATGTTTAATAACGTCATGTTTCATCACTGGATGTAAAGAATTCAGCCCGGACAGCTCCTGATACTGTATTGAGTGGGCGTGATCTAACAACTCGGCAAGCAATCTGATTGGGTGACAGTAATGTGGGCGGCACTCGGCTCGGCTAATGTCCGTCCTGTGCACTGAAAGCTCTCTCCTCCACATCACGAGTAGACACGCCCCTTATTGCTGATTGGCTACAAGTTTGTTTTGCTATTCGGCCCGAATCAGTTTTCTAAAGTGTTTTTGAAAAATCCCATACCCTACCTTTAATTTGAAAATTATGGTGATTCCTTAACTATGGGCACTTTTGACTTGATATATTACTTAATTAAAAACATTTGAAATGTACATTGAAATTCATGGGATAATGATTGTATTTCAGACTGACTATACACATTGTTTTTCATAAATTCATCATTACCACTGCACACTGTTAATTCCACCTCAGCCATTTATGTTGCAGTAATGACGCTATTGAACCCTTTTAGGGAAAAATACTTCCAGTTGCCATGGACTGCATTATAATGTAATTTTACATTTTTGTTTCTAAAATTCCATGAGCACGAGTTGAAGTTATCTTGCTGTGGTAATGATGACTGAAAAAAAAGTCCTTCAAGGGGGAAGATATTTTACAGAAGGATATTCATACACACAATCAATTTGAAAATGTAAAATTTTTTGTCAATATTTATTCTCCCGTAATGAACTGTTCTGACATGACAGAACAGTTCATTTTTAGTGATTACATTTTATTAAATGTTAAAAAATTATCTTTAAGGTATGTTAATAAGGTATATAACCCATTATTTTCCCCTTCTACATTTATTAAAGTTCTTCTTATTATTTAAAAATAAAAGACAAATATCCATAGTTACAGAGACACCCATGAGCATGTTAAAAAGTAGGTCATCGCTGGAATATGAGTAACCATGTAATTATTATTTAATGACATTCATTCACATCAGTATACAGGCTCGGAGGAGCAGTCACAAATATCCAGATGGCGGGGATTTCTCTCTGCTTTGGGTATTTCTCTCCCAGCTGGGCTCTGCCGAATCAACCCATTACGAATGGGATCACATAGAATGATTTGTGACAAGGAGCCATCCATTCCTGAGCACCCGGTCTCCTCATTACCGGGCCCTGAGAAACTCCGTATGGAATGGAGTCTGCCAAGTTTTATCAACCTGTTTCTGCCTGAATTCCCCCATCGCAATGTCCCAGGACATGAGCATTTTCAGGTGAGATGCTCATTAATCAACATTTTGTGCTTTATTTCTTATTTTACATATATTTTTCTCATTATTTTATCATATTGTCTAACCTCTAGGTCTTGGGTTACATAGCGAAAGGATCTTTTGGTCCCATTTTAAAGGTTAAGGATAAGTCGAAGCAAAAGATTTATGCAGTTAAGGTAAAATCTTTGTCTATAAGCCAGGCAAAATGTTGCATACACCCACTCATCCTTCATAATTATACGCATTTAAGAAACATGTTGTGCTGCCTAATGTGGAAACCATATATTTTTTTCAGAATTCTTTGATGAATAGAATTGTATTTTTCTTTTGTAACATTATAAATGTCTTTAATGTCACTTTTGATCAATTTTATGCATCCTTGCTGAAAAAAATATTATTTCTTTCAAAAAACTAAATCTTACTGACCCCAAACTTTTGAACGGTAGCGTATATGAACTGGTCTTCCTCTTCATGAGGAAGAATAAACAGCCTGTCATAGTTATGTTCATTCGCCATTTGTGTTTTTTTTTTTGTCTAATGTAGGTTATTCCAAAATCTGAGATTTTGCGCTTGGGAGTTTTGGAGCAGTCTAAGGAGGAAGTAGTAGTCCAGGTGATCCTCAGTTTTCTATGATGTCATCATTTTTATCAGGTCTAATGGTCTATGTCATCTTTTACAGCCACTGACTCCTAGCTTATGTCATAAGACATAAGTGTATTGTGTGTTTTAGTAGCAACAGGAAGGAAATAAAAGCAAATGTAAGCAGGTCTTTTTATCACCCTGGTACATGAGGTTTATGACTCACTGTACCTGTGCTCTTGTTGTCAAACTGTTGCTTTGCAGCGTCAGGTCCACCACCCTTTTGTCCACGACCTGCAGGACTGCTGGCAGACCCAGCGGCACATCTACATTAGTGAGTGATTCAGAACGCACCCCTGCCCCAACTCTCCTCCTGCCTTTCCCACCACTAAATCAGTTTTCCCTCACACCAAGTGCCATGTGGCCCTGACACAACAATCTCCCTGGAGCTCCTACAAACTATCATTCCACCTGAACTTTTTTTTTTTATTCTATGAGAAGCTGTGAGAAAAGTGAAAGTGACGTGACATGTGGCCAAGTATGGTGACCCATACTCTGAATTAGTGCTCTGCATTTATCCCACCCAAAGTGCACACACACAGCAGTGAACACACACACACGGAGCAGTGGGCAGCCATTTTTTTGCCTTGCTCAAGGGTACCTCAGTCATGGTATTCAAGGTGGGAGAGAGCGCTGTACGTTCACTCCCCCCACCTACAATCTCTGCCGGTACGAGACTCGAACCCGCAACCTTTGGGTTACAAGTCCGACTCTCTAACCATTAAGCCACGACTTCCCCTGGACATATCTAAGGACATATAAGGACATATCTAAAATGATACACTAAAGTTTATTAAAGTCTCTTTTGCTCACCAAGGCTGCATTTATCTGATCAGAAATACAGTAAAAAACAGTAATGTTGTGAAATATTATTGCAATTTAAAATAGCTGTTTTCAAAATATTTTCCTGAATTTTCTGCGGCCATAATTCCAGTCTTCAGTGTCACATGATCTTTCATAAATCATTTGAATAGGCTGATTTGGTGCTCAAGAAACTTTTTTTTTATCAGTGTTGAAAACATTTGTGCCGCTTAATATTTTTTAGAAAACCATGGCAATTTTTTTCAGGATTTCTTTGAATAGAAATCTTTTGTTAGTCTTAAATGTTACTTCTGATCAATTTAATGTGTCTTTGCTGAATTAAAGCATTAATTTCTTTACAAAAGTACTGACCTCAAACTTTTGAAGGTTGGTGAATGATCTGGCATTATATAGTAGAGTTGATGTGCCTAATAATTATTAATTAACTGACATTAAAGGTGAAGAGCCATTGGTGGGACTTCAGTACTCTCTCCAAATTCATGCCATTGGTCGAGTAAATGCTGCTGTGTCGGGATGCTCAACAAACAATCAGAACAATGTTTTGGAAGCAACTAGAGCCACTTTATTTCAGCTTATGAAATGGCTGACCTATAGTCATGCTGGGAGAGGAGAAAGTGTAAAAAAAAAAAAAAGAAACAAACACCTTTATTTTATTTTTGATTCTGTGTGGCACATTGGGTACAGAGTATCAGTCCGAGAATTCCCAAATTCCAAAGAATGAAAGCAATTCATGTTTTATAGCATTGGATCTCAACTCCACTGCTCTGCACATTTTGCATGTCTTCCTTATTTAACACAACTGATTAAGATCATCAGCTTGTTAGTGGAGAGCTTCCGATAAGTGTGTCCGATAAGAGAAACATACAAAATGTGCAGAGCATTGGGTCCCTGCAGGACCGGAGTTGTGAGCCTCTGTTGTATAGAATATGGGTGCTATCCATGGTGCTGAAGTCAGCCATCTATAGTTGAAAATCTAATTAGTCCTAGGAAGTTGTTATATAGTGTAAAGTGCATGTAACGTGACCCAAAGACTTTTGAACAAGGTTCGTCTAGGCAAACTTATTTAGTTCAAAAATAACTTAAATAATTTTGGCTTGAGAAAACCTAGACAGAAAGATTGAATGCTTGACGTTTGAATGATTTAAAGACATGCAGCCTCATATAGATAGATAGATGCTCAAATTTATGAAAAATTCAGAAATCATTGCCTTGCAAGTTTATTAAATAATTCTCCAAACTTAATTATGTTTTCTGCTACCAATAAAATAATCAATTTAAAGGGATAGTTCACCCAAAAATGAAAATTAGCCCATGATTTACTCACCCTCAAGCCATTCTAGGTGTATATGACATTCTTCTTTCAGACGAATCCAATTGGAGTTATATTAAAAATTGTCCTGACTCTTCCAAGCTTTATAATGGCAGCGGGCAGGTGTTTCTGTTCAACAGTCCAAAAGAAGTCCAATAAAGTGCATCCATCCGTAATAAAAAGTGGGGGGTGAATAAATGCCTCCTGTAGCAAATTGATGCGCTCTTGTAAGGAACATATCCATATTTAAAACATTATAACCACTTTTCTGTAGCTTGCGCTAACTGTCGCACGTGAAAGCCGCTCTGGGCGGATGACATAGGAAGTAGGCATAGCGCATGCGCCGGTGAGAAGTGATGAACGCGGAAGAACAAAACAAAACATCGTTCACAAATTAGAAGTACAAAATTAGGATTTGTAAAGAAAAATGTCAGAGGATTTCAATATAAGCCAAGAGGAGACTGGTTTTCCTTTGCTAAAGTAAGGAAACTTTGCTTCCTTTGATCCTGTAAACAAACATTGGTTTTCGCAAGACTAGCATATTCTCACAGGCGCTTACGCTACGCATACGTCCTACGTCATCCGCATACGTAATAGCTTCCGCTTATGACAGTTAGCGCAAGCTACAGAAAAGTGGTTATAACATTTTAAATATGGATATGTTCCTTACAAGAATGCATCGATTCTCTACAGAATTCTCTAGCCTTTATTCACCCCCCGGAGCCATGTAAAACACTTTTTATTATGGATAGATGCGCTTTATTGGACTTCTTTTGGACTGTTGTGGAACAGAAACACCCGGTCACTGCAATTATAAATCTTGGAAGAGCCAGGACAATTTTTTATATAACTCAGATTGTATTCGTCTGAAAGAACAAAGTCATGTACACCGATGGCTTGAGGGTGGCTATCATGGGCTAATTTTCATTTTTGGGTGAACTATCCCTTTAAAAGATTTTCCCCCCCTCAGTGAAGAAAATGCCAGAAAATCCACAGATTCAATATGGGCCCACTTATTAGTCACACTTTCAGGTTTTAGGACTCCTCAATCTAAACCTCAAGTCCTTTTTTCCCCCAGTGTTTGATTTCCCAGTGATCCTGACTGTGTTTGTGAAAGTTAATTTCCTTCTTTCACTATGGTGTTCACCCCTTGAATGTTTTCTCCTAGCTAAAGCTATGGGGATTGTCTCACTTCCTTTGATTACCACCTGATTCCTTCATTCACAGCCTGCACTGTTTTACTCCTATTTTTACTGACACTTAATTCAGTCTAGATCACTACTGGGATTTGTTTATATCAAGCTTAATGTTCTGTACTTTGTCTGATCATGATGTTTGACCAGTCAGTGGTCTGGATGAAGGCATAACTGTTAGAAACAGATGGTCTTCACTGATGTATTATGAATCTGGTCACGTGACAGATGTTTTCTCTGCTCCTAACCTGTATTAGTTGGATGTTTGTGTTTATGTTTGTCTAAATTTGGGATTTGCACATTCAGGCGCTGTTTATTTGATTGTTTCTGTTTATTCCCTCTCTAGTGTGTGATTACTGCAGCACAGGGGGACTTGTACACGTACTGGGTGATGATTGGTCAGTTTGGAGAGGATTTGGTAAAAGTGTTTGCTGCTGAATTAGGTTCTGCTCTAGGTAAGCACATCTATATGACAAGAAATACTTTTGGGGTCCGTAAGATTTTTTTTTATGTTTTTGAAATAAGTGTTTTATATTAACCAAGGCTTCGCTTATTTGATCAAAAATACAATGAAAACTGTAATATTGTGAAATATTGTTACAGTTTAAAAGAACTGTTTTCTATTTTAATATATTTTAAAATGTAATTAATTCCTGTGATGCAATGCTGAATTTTGATGCAAAAATGTAATGATGTTTTAATTTAATGACCTTAAGTAATGAATATGATCTCTAAAATGTCTGAACTCAAAAATGTCTTTAAAACATTCTCTGTTATATTTTTAACAGATGGAGAATGTCCTTCTAACAGATCAGGGTAAGGCAGTAGTCCCGCCAATAGAGGGTAGTGTGTGTCAGCTTTTTATTTTCTTGTAAACATGGAATGTTCCAGAACATCCAGCCAAAGAATATATTTCAATATTTGTTTGTTAAAATGTGAAAGTGAAAATATGACATCAAAGTCAAAATTGAACATCAAAGCTTATAAAACTCAAATGACATCAAACTACCATCTAATCATAAATGGAATATGTTTACAATATAAAAATAATAATAATTATTATGTAAATACTATCTAAATGTGAGGGTTTTTATTGTTTTATTAAAGGCCACCTACGACTAGCTGACTTCGGTTTGTCCCGGCGTCTTGAGCGTGGAGGGACGGCGTTCACTATTTGTGGAACAATCCAATACATGGGTAAATCTATAATAAAGCAAGAAACTAAAACAAATAAATGATTACTATGACGTACGTGGAATATATGTAGAATAATATACATAAATAGTCTCTTGAAAATGCAAAATGAGCAATTAATGATATTTATGGCCTACTAATGAAAGGATGTTTATATGTCTAGCTCTGTGTGGAATGTAAGCAAGATTCTTAAGAAATATGTGTTTTTAGCTCCTGAAGTCCTTAGCGGTGGTCCCTACAATCACGCGGCTGATTGGTGGTCTCTCGGCATCCTTCTTTTTGCATTGGCCACTGGAAAGGTGAGGACAAATGCACATACTGTATATTTGCACCAACATCTTGTGTTTTTCTGCCTAATGTGGGTAAAATTACATGTTTGCGTGTTTCTGTGCGAATAGATGTGTCGTTTCTGCCAAGTCATTCTGAACTCCCCCTCCCTTCGTGTTTGTCACAGTTTCCTGTGTCTCCAGAGCCGGACCACTGTAGCATGCTGAGGAGAGTGCGCAACGTCCCTTATGAGATGCCAAAAAACTTCTCTCCTCCTTTTGCTCTCCTGCTTACAGAGGTGAGACCTGGACCACTACTGGCCTGGTTATTCGCCAGAATGTTAAAATTGTATCAATCAAAAGTATCAATTTTGTCTCAGTTGTTTCTCCGCAAACCCTAAAAATAGACATAAATGAGGTCATTGTTAACATATAGTAAGTGTGTAGAGTTGTAAGTGAATTGTAAAAAAGTGAAAAAAGAAAATTATTCTGTCATCATTTACTCGAACTGTGCTCAGAATTTACCCTTCGCCGGGAGTTTGATTGACAGGCAATCTGACCAATCATAATGCTAAATCTGACATTTTATCCGACAAACAAACCATACATGACAGTAGATTAAAGTCAGTGGACTTGTACTTGTAAAATGGTATATTGACATCTTTCCGCGGTTGAAACAAGATACCTTCTGATGTTCATTCATGTCTATTTCGTGCTATAACTAGTAAAGAGGAAAAGATGATTGGTTCACAAACCACTTGAACTGAGGCACTACAGCGATCTGTCATGACACATTAAAGAGCCACAAAACGGTATTTATTGGTCGAATTTCTTTAAAAGCAACAAAATTTGAAAGCTGAGACTTTGTTTCATACCAAAAGTAACCTGTCTTGTCTGTCGGCGCATTGTCAGTGTTCTCTTTGCTCCGTGATGTATTTTTCACTGCATGAGAGCATGATGTGTGGTGTAAGAGTGCAATGGCTTGTCGGACATAGCAACAGTAACTAAGGGGCGGCAGGTCTTTGAGAAGGGTGATTGCCAAGATCCCAAAGTCATCAATCAAAAATCAGCTTTCAGTTTGTCATTTTCTGTGTTCTGTGAAACACAAAATAGACGAACTCTAGGAACCAAACAACACTAAACCCCACTGACTTCCATTGTATGGACAAAAAAACACATCTCAGAATATCTTAATGTTCCACAGAAGGTCATACAGTTTTGGAACAGTAAATGACGATAGACTTTTCAATTTGTCACATCATGTCACAATTTTGGGTGAATTGTCCTTTTAAAATGTATAACTTCTGATGAAGCTGAGCACAGTTTGAGACATTGAGATCCCTTCTGAATACTAATAACCTTTTATGTAATCGTTTGAACCCATCTTTCCTCTCTTCAGCTTCTTTGTAAGACTCCAGTACGTCGCCTTCGGACACTGGAACGCTTCAAGCGGCAAACCTTTTTCCACGGCACACCGTTTGATTCCCATCTGCTCCAAAAGACCCCCATGGTGCTGATCCTGGAGCTGAAGAACCGGCCTGACCGCCCTGCCAAAGCCCGTCGAGGACTGACCCTGGAGCCCTTCCCAAACTTTGATTGCGACTTTCTCTTAACCTCACCATGTACACCCACTGCTACAGACCTTTCCCCGACTCTGGCCAACATGGAGCGGGTAGAAGCGCTTATGCAAAGCTATGTACCTCAGGGCGATGCTTCCCAACGAGAAGTGTTTGTTTAATTTTTTAATACAGTTTGTCAGGAGTTTTTACAAGGGATGGTCCACCCAAAAATGAGAATTCTGTCATCATTCCAAACCTGTATGATTTACAGTACTTCTGTGGAACACAAAAACAAGATATTTTGAAGAATGTTGATAACCACACAGCTGACTTCCATTGAACGTACAAAAAATACAATAGAATTCGATGAGAACAGAAACTGTTTGGTTGCCAATATTCTTCAAAATATCTTCTCAGAAGAAATAAACTCATACAGGTTTGGAATGACATGAGGATGAGTAAATGAGAACAGAATTTTCATTTCTGGGTGGACCTTTAAATAGGAGTTTATTCTTCTGTGAAGGAATATAGTTGTTAAGTGTATTTCAATTTTATTGAGACGCTCTAATCCTTATGTTGAATTCCTTACCTTTTGTTGAGACATTTAGTGAAGTGTGGTTCATAGTTCCTCATATCCTTTGACATTATTTGACTATTTTGTCCTCATTAATATGCCATAGCTGCATTTTCATTAAACAAACATACCATCAATTCAGTTCTTCCTAGTTTATAATGGTTTGAAAGCTACACAAACCCTCAGGGATATACTTCAATGCTAAAAGAATCATATTGTCAAATTGATACCTATACTTTTATTATATGCTCAGCACTGTGCATTGTTTCCATATATATATATATACAGTGGGTACGGAAAGTATTCAGACCCCCTTAAATTGTTCACTCTTTGTTATATTGCAGCCATTTGCTAAAATCATTTAAGTTAATTTTTTTCCTCATTAATGTACACACAGCACCCCATATTGACAGAAAAACACAGAATTGTTGACATTTTTGCAGATTTATTAAAAAAAGAAAAACTGAAATATCACATGGTCCTAAGTATTCAGACCCTTTGCTCAGTATTTAGTAGAAGCACCCTTTTGAACTAATACAGCCATGAGTCTTTTTGGGAAAGACCCAACAAGTTTTTCACACCTGGATTTAGGGATCCTCTGCCATTCCTCCTTGCAGAGCCTCTCCAGCTGAAAGTGAAAATATGACATCAAAGTCAAAATTGAACATCAAAGCTTATAAAACTCAAATGACATCAAACTACCATCTAATCATAAATGGAATATGTTTACAATATAAAAATAATAATTATTATTATGTAAATACTATCTAAATGTGAGGGTTTTTATTGTTTTATTAAAGGCCACCTACGACTAGCTGGCTTCGGTTTGTCCCGGCGTCTTGAGCGTGGAGGGACGGCGTTCACTATTTGTGGAACAATCCAATACATGGGTAAATCTATAATAAAGCAAGAAACTAAAACAAATAAATGATTACTATGACTTACGTGGAATATATGTAGAATAATATACATAAATAGTCTCTTGAAAATGCAAAATGAGCAATTAATGATATTTATGAGGTCACTTTAATAAGTCATGAATATTCATTATTATTATAATCAGGTCGTGACCAAAGCCACGCCCCTAGCTGGATAGCTTTTTCTGAGCGGTCACGTTGCGTTGCGGCATTGAAACGGGAGGCTCTCGACAGTAGCATCAACCTCTCCTAAACAGGTAAATGATTGAAATCTTTATTTAAATATGTGTATTTAAAATTATAGTGACACTGCCGCTTTCTTGAATGACATTTACTCGTTCTGTAAACAGATGTTGAATATAATTTAGTTAATTCCTGCTGAAATTTTATTTTAAATATCTATTTTAATAGTGCAGCATCAGTTGTTCGCTTTGCATTAAATATTGGAAGTGAGTATGTATGATCCGACAGGTGGTTGTCTCATTTCGAAGGCCTTCTCCATCATTGTACAATGATAAACACGTTTTAGTAGTGTTTATAGCGGATATAAAAGCAGTCTTATTAATTTCGGTGTGAAATGTTAGTTTTTGAGGGTTCAAACACTCCAAAATCAACTATATTAAGAGATAAACATCATTATATCGACGTTCAATACATTCAATGTCACCCTGAGGTGAACAACCACCACCATCTCTCTCTCTTCCGTAAAACGTATTTAGAGTAGAGCTAACAGACAGCCGACAAACCCAACCTAACTTAACAGCGTTTACTTCACAGAATATGCTAATTAAAGCCTCATATGCACGTGCAGGTCTATACAGCATCACTGATGCGGCTGCTGTCTGCGGAAGGGAGTGTGGCCGAGCTGCACGTAGACATTTACTACATCACTGTAGCTTAGCCTAGCCTAGCTGAGGTGAGCTAACGTGATGAAATAGCGTTTCCTTTAGAGACGTAATACACATCCTTACAACATCACAAGCTCACAAACGAGATATTTAAATAATGTACGTCTACAGGTTTTGTAAAAGATGTCCTTCGCTCTAAATGTCGCCTTCGGGCGCTTTTGCCTCCCACTACACTCACTGCTAGCGAGGCCACCAGTGTTGCCAAACCCCTCCCTCAGAACCACCCTCAAAAGTCTCCATTTTTCACAAAAAGTCGCCAAATATGAAAACAAAGTAAATTTGGTAAAGGAAAGTGTGTATATGTGTATATGTATATATGCGTGTGTGTGTGTGTGTGTGTGTGTGTGTATGTGTATGTGTATGTGTATATATATATATATATATTTTACAAATGATGACAATATAAAAAAATATAACAAAAGATTAAGTATAACAAAAAATTCTGAAGTGAAATTAGGAAATGCTTGTGATCTGCAAGCACATCAAACATGATGGAAAGACACACAATGTTGGGAATTGGTTTTATGTGTCACCAAAGTGCATCCCTGTCCTGCTCAAATACAACAGATAAGAGATATTATGATTCTCCAAAAACAAAAATTTTATTCATACAAACTTATTTCAGTCAACACATTCTATTACTACAATGTAAGTGCAAAATACTGCATCCCAGCACACATGACACGACGATGCACTGTGTCTCTCTCTCAGTATCTGGTTGACATGACTATGGTTAAAACAAGATGTTCATTTTTTCTCCACTATCTTGATCGATGCTTATAATGAAAATGTGGTGTGGGTCATGGCAGGCGTGGCGTACTGCTGTGTTCACTGCGCAGACTCATTGGCATGATTGAGAGCAAACGTGAGAGGTCACGGGCCTACGGCAGGGTGTGGCCAAGTAAAAAATAAAAAATCTCCAAAAAATCGCTAGTTTTATTTAAATATAGACTGCGCTTGTCAAAGGAGGGGGCTTTGTTGAAAACGATGCGTTTGAGAGAGGCGGGGCATAGAGGACCTACAATAATGTACAGTTAAAGCATAATGAACATTAAAGCATGTCAACATATTCTGTTACACCAAATACACCAAATAATGATCTTTAAAATAGCATCATATGACCCCTTTAAGTTAAAGGCACAATATGTAATTTTTTGCTACTAGAGGGCGCGTATTCAAAAGAAACAAAGGTGTAGTTAGATGACGCCGTGACTGAGTGTGGAATCATGGAAGTTGTCGTCTTCATTCCCACAGCCGAAGCAATCCGATGGGACTCGGGCAGAAATCATGTTCATGGATGAGCTAATGTATTAAAGATTTATTAACGTCGTATTATGAAGCAGGGTGAGGCTGAAAGCCGTCGAAGAGAAACGAGGCCACTGAACGAGCATGGCACACGGCTCGAAAGCAGCGGAGCTTTTATTATGCCACAGTCAAGCGCTTCCGCTCCTTCCGGAAAGCAGTAGACGTAAGCAGCGCTGTTTTATCAAACTAGATACATTTGAAAGCTCTGTTGTAATGCTACTCTGTGCGGTCGTCACCTGTCTAATAAAATGCATAGCATATTAAAGCGTCTTTGGTGTTTCCATGTTTTCTACTAAACAAAAACCGAGAAATCGAGGGGTTATGACGTCATTGGCAGGCGACACAATGACACTATGGACACGCTCCGTGTCACTAGTTAAAATTGCTTATTTCTCTGGATTTAAACGTTCTTCGAAACATTTGGGATAATGTAAGTACACAAGTCAGTAAAATATATAACACTGTTCTAGTGGTTTTTACAAAAATCTTACATATTGTGCCTTTAAGCTAATTGCATTTAATATTATACATTTAAAACTATAATGCATTTTCATTTAATTGTAATTAGCATGCTGTTAGATAAAATATTACTTTCAATTTGCACCTAATTATATTCTTTTAAAGTATATTATTTCCATAATATATACACTTTTTAAAACTATGCTTAAGTCTTTTTCACAAGGAAAATAAATAAACCTTTTTAATAAAATGCTGTGCGATCCAGCACTTTAATTGTAGTAACAGACAGTGGGGCATGTCTAATGGGGATTGACAGCAGAGATTAGAGGAGTGGGATTGCATAACAGCAATAGAAAACACTCTGCTGGCTTTAGTCCATGTTATTATGCAATTCAGCCTCTCTGAAGAGCTTGTGTGGAAGAGTGGGCCGGAATATTAACCAGACCCTTTTAGATACCTTGAATAATGAGGCACAGTTTTGTTTATCCATAGCCAGCAGTCAGATATTTCCAAGACGACGAATTGTTGTTCCTTGTGTGACTTTCTTTGAGTTGTGTTTCTTGGCAGCAGAAAGTAGCCAGCTTCCCAATTGAGCCATGGTCTGATTCACAAATCAAGAACCATACAGGTGCATTGGTGTTTTTTTTTTTGTTAAATGTGAGCCAAAATCATCACAATTAAAAGAACCAAAGACTTAAACTACTTCAGTCTGTGTGCATTGAATTTATTTAATACACGAGTTTCACAATTTGAGTTGAATTACTGAAATGAATGAACTTTTCCACGACATTCTACTTTGAGATGCACCTGTAGTTTCTCTCTCTGTGTGTAACTATATAGCCAGCAATTACACATACATATACACACACGCGCGCTTAGCATCAGGTGGTTCTTTTAAATTTGTTTAATGCATGGCTAGCTCTGGAATATCCCTTATGTATGTGTGTGTGTGTGTGCAGAGATTTGCACCAATGTGTGAAGTTGTTGGTAAAATGGATGAAATTACATTTGTGTCG